TGCGGGTCCGGGCGGGGCAGGGGACGGCGGGACATGCGGTGGCAGCGGCGGATGTCCTTCTTGAGCCGGTGCACTGCTGCGCTGGAGTGCAGCTTGGGCGAGGAAGCACTGGCAGTCGGCTTGACAGAGAAATGCACATCACTGATGCGGAGGGCCTCGGCCTGGGCCCGCGCCTGCGGGCAGAGGGAGGGGTGGGTGGGACCTCAGAGCTGCCCGCTGACCTCCCCTGGATGTCCCTGCGCCAGCCAGCCCTAAGTAGAGCCTCTCAGCCAATGATCTCAAGACCATGCAAGAGAATCACTGGTCTTCATGACCTCGACTTAGAAAAGGAAACAGAGGTTCAGAGATGAATCAATTTGCCTCCGACTCCAAGGTCTGAGTCAGGACACCCTTGTCCAGGCCCAATTCCAAAACTGTGTTTTTTTCTACAACCCACCACCACTGCAAGCTCCACAGAGGGCCCTGGGCCACTCCATGGCTGCCCTTGCTGACATAGGGGAGTATGGACAACTGGGACACAGTGTTGGGAGGGCAGCCCTTTGCTCAGAAGCCCCTGCCAAACCCCTGCTCTGTGCCAGATCCAGCCCAAGCGGGGACTCCTCCACGGACTCATTCCTGGTGACCAAAAGGAGGAGGTGGGTCTTCCCTGCTCCGCCGCACCCAGTCCTGCTGAGCCACCATGTCCCCGGTGCCCCGTACTCTCTCACCTGTGAGCAGGCTGACCTCTGGCTCCAGCCTGCCTCCTTAGCTGGCAGCACCTCAGCCACCACACTTCCCTGGATGGGTCTCATTTACTTGTCTGCCCAGTGCCTGGCTCAGAGTGAACTGGTGCCAATGCAATCCAAGCCTGCACCCCAAAGCCTGGGCTGGAACCCAACCTGGTCAGATGTGAGTTTGGGGGGGACAGGCCTAGAGGTGGGCCTGACCACTCCCTATTCTCTGTGCCAAGATGGTCTGGGACAGGATGGTGGTGCAGAGGTCGTGGGCAGCCAGGAATACTGCCCCAAGCTCCTAGGCCTGTCCTTCCAGCTGTCCTTCCAGGCATGAAATCTCTCTAAAGCTGCAGGGCTCTCAAGAGACCCCAGGTTCCAGTCCAACCCACCCGTTGTCAGATGCCACTAAATGGAGAAAGGCTAAGGGACTCGTAAGGTGATGTAAGCTGTCTGCATGGCCAGTCCTTCCTTTACTAAGGAAGCAACTGACACATCAGGCACCAGCTGCTTGGGGTTACAGCTGCACACACAGACTCTCCTGGAGAGCTGCTCTATCACAGGGAGGATGGTGGGCAGCAGGAACAGGAAGTGATTTGGTGCAGCGAAAGAACCACAGAGCCCAGAGAAGTACAGACCCCAGGCTTGAAGAATGAAACATCAAAGCCTGGCCCTGACACCTAAGTAGGAGAAAATCCTGGTCCTTACTGAGACCTGACTACACCCCAGACAGTTCCAGAGGCCCTGGTGCCCTGCTCAGACAGACAGATGGTAGAGGCAGAGAGTCCTGTGGGCAAGGTCTCAGTGGTGTGAGAAGATGGCAAAGAGTCACAGGACTGAAAGCAAGGGCTGGGGACAGACGCTGGGGTGTGTGGGGGGTGCCACAAGGGGCGTGGGTTTTACAGATTCTCTGGCTCCTACTGGGGAAGGGAGGCTTGTTAGGTGACGGCTGCCCTCAATCTAGGTGGGAGATGGTTGGGACCGAGAGGAAGGCCATGTCCCCATGGTTGGTCTGTGAGGTCCTTGAAGGTGGGATCTGTTGTGAGGTCTCTCTACCTCCCACTCCCCACAACACTGGATGCTTAACTAGTACCTGCAGGTAGCCCATATGCCCCTCAGACAAGACTAGATTACACTGGACCACAACTCCCAGGAGAGGTGTTCGCTGGCTTATTTGTTGGCTAAGCAAGATGTCTTCATTTAGAATGTGGCCTTCACCCCCATGGGAGAAGGGACAGTGACTCCACGTGGTCCTCCCAGCCCAGGCTGGGGCCTCCTGGGGCTGCTTGGTTAACAGTCCCTTCCGCCACTAGGTGGCAGCACATGAAGCCGGGCCTGCCCATGCCAATGCTACCAGCCCAGCTCCCAGGGATCAGGCCCCTCACACCCCTTCCCACACAAAGGCAGGGAAAAGCCCCGACTTTTTCGGCATGGTAGGCAGACATTCTGCAGGTGCATCCCCACACTTTCTGACTCGCAGAAAGTTAAGTGTTTACTCCTTCTGCAAGCTGCCTGAGCTTCCTGACCTCTGCAATTAGGCTTCCAAGAGTCCAGTGGTGATGGACTGTCCCTGGGGGAGGGGCAAAGAGTGTGGGCAAACAGCAGGCCCGGAAAGAAACCCTGGCTCAGTGAGTCTCCTTTACTTATCTGCTCCACCATCACAGGGCCTACTTCAGGCGCTCCTGTGATGATCAGAGAGTACATGGCACCTGCTCAGCACACTGCCTGGCATGCAGCAAATAACTGAACAGACCTACCTATGGGTGGTGGACTTATAAGCAGTGATCTTGTTCCAATGTATGCTTGGCATACATTGTTATTTCTTACTTTATACTTTCTATATATTATTATTTTTTAAAGAGTTCACCCCTCCTCTTCCTCCCCACATGGAGAACTCCTTGAAATCGGGGACTTGGGTCTGCCTGGTGAATTAAAAATAACTGTAGCCAACATGGTTATTGCACCCTGACCAGGTGACAGGCATAGCTCTGTGGGCTTGGCATGCACTGTAGATGGTGTAGATGGCATGAACTGTACCTTGGCCTCTCCCCATGTCTGTGGGCAAGTTACTGGACACCTCTGACCCCGTTTCCCCATGCGTAAAACGGGGGATGGAAGCTATCTCGTGGGCTCCTGTTTGCTTCACAGTAGTTCCTGGCAGAAAGCGCGGAGTGTAATTTGCTGACTGCCATACTGCCTCCCACGGAGTCCCAGAGCAATGTATTCGGCCCAAGCTAATCTCCATAGCCCCTCACAAATATCCACATCTCTCTCAGGCTACCTGTTTCTTAGGGTCCAGATAAAAAAGTTCTCCTATCTGCATCTCTATCCCCTGCCACGCCAACTCTACAGCCTCCATAGTTTCCTGTGTGTATCTGCCGTTCCCCCTTAACCTGACATGGACTCCTCAAGGCACAAGATGAAGAAAAGGAGACAGGATGAAGCCAGGATGCTGGACCTCGGGTAAGTCACTTTCCCTTCCTGGGCCTTGATTTTTTATCTGTGAAATGGGGATAATACTCCCCACTTCTTGGACTGTTGAGGGCTCAGCCCTGTATTAGGCCCACAGCCAGCTCAGGAACCAAAAGAACTATCAAGAAAAAAGGCGTTTTGTGTATCAATGTTCATGGTCATACTCGCTTCACCGCTAGAGGGTGCCCCAGCTGCACTGAGAGACTGTCACACAGCCCATCAGCCTTCCAGCTGCTCCGCCCATCCCTCCCCAGGAGAAGCATCAGGGTTAAGGTTACTCCCTGGATCCCCTAGGATGTGCGTCGCTTGAGGGTGGGGTTTATAAAAATATGAAATTCTGGAAATCCACATTTCTTTCACTTCTGCTTCTCTTCTCCAAAAAAGAGTCCTCCCACAAAGTCACCAGCTGTCGGGTGGGAGGGGGCCCTGAGGCATGTGTAGCACTACAGCGAGACAGGTGGCCCAGTGAGTTCCACCTGCAGCCTTGCCTGCCACCTAGGGCCATCTTGCCCTTCCTTTCCCAGACTCTGTTTTTTCTTGTCAAAATAAAATAAAAACCCAAATCCTCCAAGATGGCTTCCTCTGGAAGTTCTTCCCTCCCTAGCAGAGGCTAATATGCTATGCTCTTACTCCCACATCCTCATCCTCCAGAAATGGCCGGGAGTGGGGGGAAACTGAGGCTCAGAGCCCTAAAGTTAGTGGCCCAGCCTGGGTGATAAATTCAAAGGGAAGTGATTTTGAGGTCAAATTCAAGTTGGATCCCCAAGAAAGGAGGGGAGCCATGAAGAACAAATCCTGAAAGACAGGGAACCGGGGAAGCTGGGGAAAGGGAGGCAGGTGGTCCCCCAATCCTCTCCTTGTTCCCTGACAGGAGGTGGGACCCCACTCACTCTCCCCCTGGGTTCCAACTCCCAGCACAGTCATAACAGCTCAAACAAATGCCCCCTTCCCATGGGCATCCCCCACCTTCCTCAGCCACCCCCTTTCCTGGAGCCCTAAAGGCACCCCCAGACCCTGGTTTCAACAGGGAAGATTATCCCCAGTCCCAGGACCCTCTTGTTGAAGGTGAAGCTGGCTGAGGCTTGCCATCAGGGGCTTCTGGGGGGGCTCACAACCACCTCCTGCCCAGCTGGGGCCCCTCTGGAAAGGCCCGCCCGCTTGGGCAGCCGAGTATCTGTCCCTCCCTTCCAGGCCCCGTGCTGTGCCGGGGCTGGGGGCCCGAGAAGGGGATGCTGCTGGGGCTGGGCCAGGTTACCTTCAGAAGGAAAGTTTTGGGTTTGGGTCCTCTCTTCTTGGGCCCATACAGCTCACGCTCCCTCTCCCTGCGACCGAAAAACACCAGAGGTTAAAAAGAGCCCCTTCCCGGGCCCCACTCCGCGATGCCCTCCCCGGCTCTCCCGCTTCCCCGCGCGGCGCCCCAGCCGAGCCTCGGCCTCGCCGCCCCTGCCAGCTTCCCCAACAACTCACTTTTGCTCGAAGGCTGCAATGAGCCGCGAGTCCAGGATGTTCTCCTCGGGCTCCCAAGTGCTGTACCTGCCGAGTCACAAACGCTCAAAATCAGGATGAAGACCAGAGAGGGACAGGCACGCGGCGAGAGCAAGCGCGCGCACCCCCACCCCAGGCCCCGGTGCCCGCTGCCTTCCCTCCCGCGACGCCCCCGGACCCCGCGACACTCACTTGATCGCCCACCCCTTCCATTTCACCAGGTACTCGATGCGTCCCTGAAAAATAGAGGGGAGAAAAACGGGGGTGGGGGTGGGGAGGATGCGGGGACGCGAGGAGGCGGCGG